ATTCAGCATCTACTATGAATTATTCAGTATCTACTATGAATTATTCAGTAACTACTATAAATTATTCAGCATCTACTATGAATTATTCAGTATCTACTATGAATTATTCAGTAACTACTATAAATTATTCAGCATCTACTATGAATTATTCAGCATCTACTATGAATTATTCAGTAACTACTATAAATTATTCAGCATCTACTATGAATTATTCAGCATCTACTATGAATTATTCAGTAACTACTATAAATTATTCAGTAATTACTATGAATTATTCAGTATCTACTAGGAATTATTCAGCATCTACTATAAATTATTCAGCATCTACTATGAATCATTCAGCATCTACTATGAATCATTCAGCAACTACTATGAATTATTCAGTATCTACTAGGAATTATTCAGCAACCGCTATGAATTATTCAGTAACTACTATAAATTATTCAGTATCTACTACGAATTATTCAGAACTGAATAAAAAAGCAAGAATCATGTGAGCAGTAGGTTATAAAAATGGCACATTTATTGCTACAGAACGGTCATGTACATGACTTCATCGAGTAACTACAAGATGAAAACCAACAGGCAATGGCCTAAGATGAGCTGGCTTGAAGAGAAAAACTCCAGCAAATGATCTGTTTAGACACGGATACTAGTCTGACAATAACAGCAACAATAATAATTATAACAAACGGAATTGAAATAAAAAAAGAAAAATCAACAAAAAAAGCAATAATTAAGAAATAAGGGAATAAAAACAAGAACACACACACCGAAAAAATTACGTGAACAAAAAAAGTAATAATAATAATAACAATAATAATAATAATAAAAGGCTTGAGGCACACAGCCACACGTTGGAAAAGAAGGTGTAACTGTAGTTGTTGTTTTTTTTTAATTTGACGTTGTGAATCACTGCTCAGGCTTGGATGGATCCGCTCCTCCCCCGCCCCTGTCCCCCCTCCCCCAAGATTCTCCGACCGAACCTCCGACTCTGTACAGCTTCGTCTCGACAACACACGCTAAAATAACGTCTTTAAATAGTAAAATAAAGTAACAAACTTCTTTATTTCTTGATTTATTTTACTGTGAACGATTCCAAAAAACCTACAAAGTGGAACACGTCTCGAATCGATCATGACTTTTTGACGTTTTTGTGTTTGTGTTTTTTTTTTGTCATCAATATTCCTGGTACAAAAAAGGATTGCCCTTGCAAAAAATAAGCCAAATATAACTAGATTTTATTTTTTTCAATTTAACTTTCCTCGTTTCCCCCGTTTTTTCTCTATAATAGGGTGCGCTAGTCTATTTTCTTAGCAAAAAGAGCACTAGACAAAAGAAGCTTTATAACAAAAAGCCAGGCACTGGTACATGGTAATTCTCTGCTTACTGTATTATTCTTTTTTTTTCTTCACTTAATTGCATCACAAGTAACAAGAAGAATGAAAAAAGGCCACAGTTCATATATTTTCACCATTACATATGACTAATACTCTGAAATGAACATGTCTGAAACCACTGCACAAGGATGACTCAACAAATACAGAAGAATGGATAAAATAATAATAACAATAATTGATAATAATAATAATAATAATAATAATCAGGTTATAAAAGTAGCCATGGTGCCCCCTGTTGATTTCCAGTCGATTCGCTGATTTTGTATTTTCCAGTCGGCTAGAGGTTCGAGCTTGTTCGTAGCGGAAATATGACGGATACCTTTTTGAGTAATTTTTTCCTCATTTTATGAATTTTTACTGATTTTAAAAGTCTCCTGAACAAGGGCTTTTATTTTATATATATATATATATATATATATATATATATATATATATATATATATATATATATATATATATATATGCATACACACACTGCATGGAAGACCGGATAAGTTTGCGTACTCAATTTGAACGACAAGTTGTCCCCTGTTCACTGCCCACTGAAGACAAATGGAATTCTTTTAATCTTAATTTTTGATGAAGGGCCTGAAAGTGCTGGCGAGTTTTGACCTGGCAGTGGACATTTTCATACTTTTTAAGAGCTTCACACAGCTTCCCACATCCCTTTTCTAACCTTAAACTCAAATAAAAAAAGTTGGGACAGGTTTACTAAAACAGGCGCTAATTACCGAGTTTGCGCTGGTTGCGGCGGTCAATTTAGCAGGTTGTCCACTAAAAACTTAACAAATTAACAGAGGTTCTTCGTAATAAACATATGACCAATATAATCATGTTTGGCTCACATCTTTTTCGTTTTCGCCAGTTAGAAATAGCAGATAAAAAACTTATCTGTATCCGTTTTTCCGTTTTTTGACGTATTGGGCCAAATTCGTAAAACTTGGCAAGATGTGCGGTGTGGTAAACAAGGCCTATTCATAAAGTTACCGTGGTGGTGATTAGCCCACACTGTGTCCTAGACAACAGCCAATCAAAATTGATACGTAAATACCTACATATTAACGACCCACTCCAACTAAACCTCCGGTTTGGCTGGAAAAGCGATTACGATGCGTCAAAAACCAAAATTTTCAGAAACAGCTCTGAATATATTAAGGTAAGAAGTGCTGACAAATGTACATGGTTTAGTAAAGAGGCTTTTAACTTATAAACAAAGTTCTTTATCAGAAAATGTTACTGATACTAGAAAATAATAGAATTCTTAAAGTGGCTAATAATTCTTGACCGTTTAGGCTTAACAGTTACGCGTAACAGGACTGAAAATACTGTGTTTTGACCCCGGTAACCTGGCAGTGGTGATTTATAATACTTCGTAAAACCTTCACACAGCTTCCCGTTCTCCCTTTATTGACCTCAAACTCCAAACCAAATAAGCAGGTTTACTAAAACTGGCGCTAATTATCGGCCGATACTCTGTGCTGGTTGGAGCGGCTAATTTAGCAGGTTAGCAGGTTGTCCACTAACAACAGATTAACAAAGGTGCTTCGTAATAAACATATGACCAGCGCAATATAAATACAGGTTTGTATGGAAGCTCGTTTCCAGGTAAGACAAAACAGCGACTGTTCGTAATTAGTTCGTTCTTCTAGTTAAAAGTTTGTCTAAAATGTCACAATAATGACTCATTTTCTCAATATTATGACTTGAAATGATCACTCATAATTTTGAAATACAGTATCGAAATAATAAAACAATAGTTTAATGACAAAAATTAGGAGAAAGTTTGGTCATTTTTAACGATGTTTTTGCCAGGACCAGTATTTACTATCAACCTTGGTCAATTAAAGTAGATCCTCCTTATAATAATCTCCTCCCCTTTTTGAGAAGGGACCGCCCCTTTTATGATATGGACACCGCCTCCGTATTGTGCCTAATACGGAACATCGCGATCCCTTTTTAACGGCTAAATAGGGTTTGATCTGCCTCTTTTCAACCTTTAGAAAACCCTCAGGGCTGGCGGGGGTTGAACAGCGCTGTTGGAGAGTGCGGTATGGAGTGTATGAATGTTTACGTCTGTGTGACGATCAAAAGTAAAAGAACAAATATGTACAATATGAACAAGAAAACAAACAGCGTCGCTTTCAACTCTCAGCAACGAGTCGGGCAAAATTCGGAAATGTAGCTTTTTGTACTGAGCGACGAAACACTATGATGACAGCAAGCCTTCAAATACTGATCCAAAACTATAGGAACAAAGTTGTTTCCAATGCAGTAACGAACAGGGACGTCCTTTCAGCCTCCTGTTAGAGAATGACACAAATCTCAAGCAGCATGGCTGCGTGACGTACGCTGACCGCTAGCCATGAAGCACCGTGAAAGAGCGACTCGAGCCGATATTCGCATCTTGGTTCCGCGCTTTCAGCCATGAGCATCTTTACGACAAAAGAGGGGAATGCAAGTTGAGAGCTGAGCAGCTCAGTTCAGACATCCGAACATGACGAGGACCCGACCGAGATTCCGCGAGCCCCGACTATTTACACACCATTTAAAAGAAACGTACAGTTAAACATGGAAATGTCATGATCATGGAGATTGAAACAAATATTATATACCTTTCTGTTTTCCAAACCCCGCCTTGTATTATTTATTCATTTATTTATTTTTTTTTAAAAGAAAAATGTTCCCAGAAATATAACCAACTTTTTTTTTTAAAAGAAACGATTTCGAAGCTTTTTGACCTCACTACATTTTCAATGTGACACACTGTTTTGTTTTGTTTTTTTGTTTTTTAAAACACACAATTACTTTTTTCCTGCCTTTTTAACAAAGAAAGGAGAAAAAAAAACAAAAACAAGTACAACGAATTATCTAAACACAAAGTAACAACAGTCTACATGTAAAAATATAACTTTTACATACACAATTTCAAAATAATGGTTAAGTTTGCATTTGTTGCATAAAATTTACAAATGTCCATGTTTCCTTAGCCGGCCGGCCGGCCCCTCCCGGGTTTGGTGGGTGGGAGGGGGTGGGCCTCGTGGGGGGGGAGGGTCCCTTTTTTTTAATGTCCTGCGGAGGCTTCCCGTCAGATCGCGGAACAAAGTCACGTGTCTTTTAAGACGCGGCTCTGGCGCTGAAGCTTCTGAGAAACCGTTCTCCCCATCGATCTCTCCATCCGAAAAAAAAACAAAAAAAACGACACTTCTTTTTTTAATATATCGTATATATTTTTTCTACATTTATATATATTGATTTTCTAATAGACTTTTTTTTCCAGTTTCAGTGCCTCGTGTTGATTGGATAAGGAAAACCACTGAAAAAACAAACAAACAAACAAACAAAAAAAGGAGCCGCTGTCGCATCTCGGGTTTTATTTTTCTTTCTTTCTTTCTTTCGTTTTTTTTCCGACAGAGAAACCAGAAACAGACAAAAGGATAAGAGAAAGATTAAAAAAGAGAAAAAAATTTAATTTTTTTTGTTTTGCTTACACATACAACCACACATTTGTACTGAAGACTACAGCGGCTCACGGACAAGCCAATATTCATAAAAAGCCGATAGCTATGATACAATGCTCGGTAACAGACGTGTCGTTCACGACCAAAACAAAATAATAATAAAAAATAATACGGCTGCGAGTCGGGAGGGGAAGGGGGCGGGGTTGGGGTCTGGAGGGGCGGGGATTTTGAGTATCTATACAATACTCAAAAACAGGGGTCTGTCCGGGACACGCCTTCTAATTACATATAGGCATACAGTACATTAAATACAGTTTATCCAAAAAATACCTTTTTTTTTAACCTTTTTACTTTTTTTTAAATTCCAGGCTGATAAAACACCTGACTGCATAGACCTAATGACTAACAATTCCCTAAGCTTGCATCCTAAAAAATTCTGATAATGTCCCTCTCGCGCAGTGTGATGATATGAACTCTAAAAAGGCACGTTGGTAGAAGTGTAGCGTGTTTGAAATTGCATCTCCGGGAGAACTGGGAGGGGGGCGGGGGTTACTAGGTGGGAGCGGGGCTAGATCTGGATTCAAAACAACCATAAACACAACTTGGCCGGCTTTCGCCACGTTCCGAGACTGGCCGGTGCCGAACAGTAGGAGAAATTTGGACGGCAAGTTTGGAAATTGGTGACGACTTTCATTGGGGCAAGAAGAATCTGGCAAAATAATACAACAACAAGAACAACAAAAAACAAACAAACATCGATCAAGTTATGGATTGTCAAGGGCAGGGGAAACAAGTCATCTTCCATTGGTCACTTTAGGACAGAACACGGCACATCCTGACTGATCCTGGGAATCTGGCTACGTTCACATTACAGAGTTGAATCCGTTTTTTTTGTCTAAATGTGAATTTAATGTGTGCTCCTTGGTCAGATCCCTTAAAGCCTTTAAGGTCTTCCTTGCTTGCTGTGTCTGGACTGGTTGGAAATTTGTGAAACTCCCAACGGAAAACTGTCCAATCTAGGTAGATATAGCCAAGCGAGCTCTCCCATTGGTTAGGCCTTCAGGAGCTGAACAGAAGGCCTTTAGTTTAACCACCAGCGCAATTAGGAACTGACAGAGGAATCACGGTTTGATTTACAAGGGAAGTGAGATATAATGTCGCTCGGGAAGTTCTAGATAGCTGTAAGTGTCAGTGAATAGTTAGGAATGGAAAACAGCAGCAGTTCTGTGGGCTCTTCATTGTAGAACTGCTACAAGTTAATGCCTGTTATAAGCTTCAAACAAAACATGGAATGTCTTTTACAAGCTTCAAATCTGTGTTTAGTCTTCAGTGTTGGAGTAGTGCTAACATACTACTAGAAATCCCATAGAGACGCTAGTGAGTAGTGAGTTTTGAAGGAAAAGTCAGAGCTTAAAAGGTCAAAGTTCTCCACTGGTTTATGATGGATCCGAGCAAAACTTCAACAGTTGTAATGTGAACGCAACTTAGACTCGCGTGCAGGTTCCGAATCGTTTTTCTCTCTCCGACTTCTGTACGTATAACGCTGGAATGGCCTTCGAAGTCGCTTCGTCCAGGAATTTGCTGGTTTAAAAGTTGCCCTCACACTTTCCTGCACTTAAATCTGAAGAGAAATTCATTATTGCGACCATTTTTCCGGCAAACTTCCCTACGTCATCTCGTCCCGTCGGATGTGTTGTGGCTGAAAATCCCCCCTCACTTTCTCTCTCTCTCTCTCGATAAACGGATTGACTTCTTTTTTTAACGTATATATCTACTCTTTCTCTTTTAGACTTTCCCAAGAAGAAAGTCAGGCACAACTGCAAGAGTTTTCCACAGTGTGGAGAGATTGCCATTGAAAAATCTGCAAGCTGCTCTCAAACAGCTCTGCCAAGGTTTTTTTTTTTTCGTTTTTTTGTTAAAACAACATCATGATATGTTTGAAGAGTCCCCCAACGATTTGCACATTTTCCAAAAGAAAATAAAAAGAAGAAGAAGAAGAAGAAGAAGAAGAAGAAGAAAACATCTTTTTCATTGTATTTTCATACATATTTACTGTTCCTTTTTTAAACCGGGAATGTTGAAAAGGAAAGAGAGGGAAAAACGTCCCATGTGTCTCTGTTTTCTTATTTTTCCTTAGCCAATGAACACGTAAGGATATACTTTTACAAGAAAACATCATGACGGGGTCGGGGAGGAGGAACGAAAAACAGCGACGACAAAAAAATAGAAGAAGAAGAAGAAGAAGAAGAAGCTGGCTGGTCAGATGGAAGGTCGATCATCTTCACTGATTGATCTGATTGGATCTGATTGTTTTACAGACGGTCAGGAGCATAAATGACGTCGTCAAAGGTAGTGGTCGCTCACCATTTTGAAAAAGTCTGGCAGCTTTGACCTGAGAGAGAAAGAGAGAGAGAGAGAGAGAGAGAGAGAGAGAGAAAAGAGAGAGAGGTGGTTTGGTTGAACGGAGAATCCAACACTCTCATACAACAAAACACAAACATACATGATGAACATACCAAACAACAGAGAAGGAACTCGAATGCAACTAAACCCGACTGTCTTATTCTTTGCACTGACCTTGTTCTTCCATTAACTGGCCACTTTATTAGAAACACCCACCTTGTGCTTCCACTAACTGGCCACTTTATTAGAAACACCCACCTTGTGCTTCCACTCACTGGCCACTTTATTAGAAACACCCACCTTGTGCTTCCACTCACTGGCCACTTTATTAGAAACACCCACCTTGTGCTTCCACTTACTGGCCACTTTATTAGAAACACCCACCTTGTGCTTCCACTTACTGGCCACTTTATTAGAAACACCCACCTTGTGCTTCCACTAACTGGCCACTTTATTAGAAACACCCACCTTGTACTTCCATAATTATTATTGTCACTGATTCAGATAAATGTTTTTTTAGTATTTGAAAATTTGTCCTCCAGAAAAAGTAGTTCCTCCACAAACTTGGAGTAAAAGGAACAAACGGTCAGCGGTACACTACAGGCATGGTCAGCAACTGGTCAGTGGTATGCTACAGGTATGGTGTTGTTATCAGATATAACACAGGTAGAATGATTTTCAACCAATTAGAATGCATGGAATTTTGAGGTTTGGCCTTACAATAGCTACACAGTAACACTAATACACATGACCCATGTGACCTCAGAGATACGTTTCCAGGAGAAGGCCAGGTTCACTTTAGCTGCCATCACGTTGTAAAGTCACTAGCTATGCATTAGATATAATACGAGTCCTCTCCAACCTTTGATGCGGCGAGCTAGAACACAAAGTTCAACATTCTTAGTGTTTCTGAGCCTGTTATCACTCTGTAATGAAGGAGTGGCGTCTGCTTTATCAGGTGATGAAACTGACCAGGTAAATATTTCATCACCGTTGGTCTTCGGGTTTGGAAGCATTTGAGTTTTCCTTCTGATGGGAATTATTTTATGGTTTGTGAATGGATGAGTTTTCAGACACACAGAACTATAAAAAACAGTAATGCTTGAGTATGGGGGGACATTATAATGCCATTTAATGCTCTAATTAAGCCTTATAAAGCCAGTAGCTGGTGATTACTACTATTATAGATCTAAAAATAGAGTGAGTTAAGCATTCTCTATCTTTTATTTGTGTATATATACATGTTACATATTATACACATGTGTATCACAATGTCACATGACATTTCGGGTGCCTTTATTAAGCCTTATTAAGCACAAGATCAAGTGCTCTATCCACTCTGGCTATTGCTGAACAAGAATAAAGAGCAGCCAGTTACTGGCTTAATAAGTCCTAATAAAGGCATTACAAGTGCATTATAATGTCCCCCTGTACTGAAGTGTTCATATCAACAACACAAACTCCAAAAATTAGGAATAGTAAGAAAACTGTGTAACGCTTTACTTGAACCCTGCTACATAACATTGATATAACCTTGCCATAAACATGGCATGGCATGTCATATGCTGTCATGACAATTTCTTTTTATTAGTAACATTACAGTGTCGTATTACCATTACTGTTATTCGTCATTATGTTACAATACATGACGTTTGATCATGACAGCTTATGTCACGGGTTACTGTTTGCTAAATACTCTAGTTTAGCCATAAAATACATGTGTATGTCAGGGTTATTCCAATGTTATGTAGCATCGTCAAAGTAAACTGTTGCCTAAAATTGTTAAGATTTTTACTAAACCGCTGTCATACTTACTGTATATGAATGTGCTATTTCATGACACTGAAACTGTAATATAGGGAAGCCCATTTATGCCATTTAGGAAAAAAACAGCCATTTAGTAAGACTTAACAATGAGAGTTTTCCATAATTATGACTTGCTATCTCATAATAATGAGATGTTTCATAATTATGACAGTATCTCATTATTACCATGTAGCACCTCATTATTTTGATTTCCTTTCATAATAATGAGATCCTATCTAATAATTATGACTTGCTATCTCATAAGTACTCCATAATTATGACTTAATATCTCATAATAATGACTTAGTATTTCATTTATAATGTTATTGTTTTTGTAACATTTATTGACCATAAACATTATTATGACTTACTATCTCATAATTACGACTTAGCATCCCATACTTATGACTTAGTATCTCAAAAATATGACTTAGAATCTAATAATAATGACTTTCTCATAATTACATTCCATAAATACAACCCAGTATCTCATGATTATGACATAGTATCTCATAATTACAACTTAGTATTGCACAATCTCAATTCAACTTAGCATCTCTATATTATAACTTAGTATCTCATAATTATGACTTAGTATCTCATAACTACAACTTAGTATCTCATAATCATGACTTAGTATCTCATAATTACAACTTAGTATCTCATAATAATGACTTAATTTCTCATAATTATGACTTAGTATCTCATAACTACAACTTAGTATCACACAATTATAACTATCTCAATTCAACTTACCATGTCTATATTATGACTTAGTATCTCATAATCATGACAGTATCATAATAATGACTATCTCATAATAACAACTTAGTATCTCATGATAATGACTTAGTTTCTAATAATTATGCCTTAGTATCTCATAACTACAACTTAGTATCTCATAATTACAACTTAGTATCTCATTATTATGACTCAGTATCTCATAATTACAACTCAGTATCTCAATTATGACTTAGTATCTCATACAACTTAGTATCTCATAATAATCACTTTGCATCTCATAATTACAACTTAATATTTCGTAATAATGACTCAGCATCTCAGCTATTATTATGAGGTCATACATCGTAATTATAAGAAACTCATTTTTATAACATATTATATGTTTTTTTTTCAAATGGCGAAAACAGGCTTGCATAGTAATTGGATGGATGGAAAATCTTCAGTTTCCTTTTCTAGGCATCATGACCTGAACGCAGAATGCATGCTGCTGTTTTTGTAATATTTAATAGCCAAACACTTACTGCCAATCTGTTGTTAAAATGTACCCAGCGTTGAGTGCTGAACTGGGGGAGGACGGTTCTATTAGACTCTATTGTTCTGCTTTCACTGCCATAAACAGCCGATTAAACTCCAATCAGTCGAGTCTCACAGCTATACTGATTTCCTCGCCTCTTGTCAAGTCGGCTGGGGTTTTGTAGAGCGAGCGAAGCAAATGAACACCATCTGCTTCTTTTATTAAAACGGCAGTTTGGCCAAAAGTGAGATTTACCCAGTTTCCTTCCTTTCACCAAGTGTAGCTGATCAGCCAAGACACGTTTGGTGTCTGAAGTTTGCTTCTTTGGTTTTACACTGGAGCTACGAGGCTAATGTAGCTAGTAATGGAAGCTTGTAACAGAAGCTTCCACCACAGCAATTAGCATGGTGCTAACCACATCACTTGCCTCAGACTCCGTGGAGTCAGTAATCTCAAATAAACTTGCTTATGTGGTTTATGACAAACTGTTATCTGTAAACATAGACAAAAGGTGGCTGCTACTACCATTTGTAGCTATGCTAATGTACTTCTGTCTATTTTTATAGATCACAGCGTGTTGTACAATGCCAAAAATTAGCAATTAGCACGTCTATTAAAGACTCCACACAGTTTGAGGTGACTGAGTGATGCGGTTAGCACCATGCTAACTGCTGTTGTGGCTTCTACTACGTGTTAGCTACATTAGCTTGGTGGCTCCAGTGCTAAAACTAAAAAAGCTAACATGTCTAATGGGCTACATTTGGGGTAATGAGGGGGAAAAACTGGGTAATTTAACAAAACGACAGGAAATAGTTTCTTTAATCAAACGTGTTGGTCACCAATTTTGCAGTTTGCCATGTTTGGGGTCGGATTGAACGCTACACGTGAGCAAACAGCAGATTAGTGTGAAGTGAAATCTGACCATTTAGGGGCGGGTGTGGCTTTTTACATTTGTCCCATGGGGTTGGAGGCGTCGCCCATGCCGTGGTGAGCCCCGCCCAGAGAAAGGGGCGGACCGTCCGACGACACTTTTTCCTCCTCTCGTCTCTTCAGACACGCAGCCTTCGGGTTCAGATTCCTCTCTGAAGACACACAAACACAAACATGCTTATTTAACAGCTTTACGGTGAAGCCGATATGTGTAGGTGCGCCTCCTTAAACAGGACAGCTAAATCTTATGTCAAGTTAAAGGGAAACTCCACCAATTTTTCAAAATTTCTACATAATTAAATGGTTAAGATGTAAACAGAGTGGTTCAGAGTGGTTTGGTGTGAAACGCTCTGTTCTAGATAAACTTACCGAGTCAGAACTGTTCACAGTGGTGGTGATAGGAACCAGACGTCCACCTCTAAAAGCTCCCTCACAGAAAGTTACTACATGAAATGGTTATGAATTCACTGCCTGATGACTGAGTCAGTGTGTTACGGTAGTTGCGTGGCAAAGTTTTCGTCTAAAATTAAAATGTATTTTGATACATTCATGGTGGAGGGATACATGAAGGGTGTTCTATGGCAAAATAGTACCCAAAGAAAACGTACTTTTTCAGATTAACCACTACTTTCCATCATCATCAACATTCCATATAAACTCAGAAGACTTGTGTAGGTTCACTGGTGGTTTTGATAGTAAACAAAATGTCTATATTTGTGTTGTAAACACTGGGACCCCTGGTTCCTATCACCACCACTGTAAAAACATCTATGTTGACTGAATTTTGAAAAATTGGTGGAATTACCCTTTAAAACACTGCCACCTAGTGGTCAGCTCTGATAGTACATCAGCTACAGAGAAAGCAGTTAGACATTCTGAATAATATCAACCTGGTAATATCAATAATATATAAATAATATCAATCATGGTAATGATATAAATGCAGCAAACATATAATCACAATGTGCCACATGCTAATGTTTGCTCTGTACTCTAGTTAGCCATCACAACATCAAACATTATGTCATCTGTTATGACAATTGGTGGCAATAATGACATTAATGTTACATCAGTGAACAAAAACTGTCCTAACAACTTATTACAGCATATGACATCTAGCATGACATGTTTATGGCATGGTTATGTCAATGTTATGTAGCAGGTCACCCAAATTTGGGCACCAAATATGTTTTGGCTGAGCCCAGATACAGCCGGTCGGCCAAAACATATTTGGTGTCCAAATTTTGCTTAGTTGGTTTAGCGCTGAAGCTAACGTTGCTAGCAGACACAATAAGTCAATAGTCACCCAAATCTTTCCTGTAAATACATCCCCAAAACTCGCTTTATTAAGGTCGTACAGACTTGCTGATGTGGTTTAGGACACAGTGTGAGCTATGTAATGCAGAAAACTTCACAGCGTAGCTGAAAACCGCAGCCATTTAAACAAGTGCCGAATTCTGATCACCTCGCAGAATCCGGCTCCCCTTCACGTGCAGCACGTCACTCAGGCATATGGACTAGACTACATGGCGATTTCTGTTATTTCTATTTATAAACATACAAAAATTCATAATTATCATTACAAAAAGAAACAGCACAGTAAGTAGAAGTTTACGGCCTTTAGCTACACGTTGAAGGTTTATGCATTTTTATGGTTCACAGTAAGTCACACTGTAATTCTTAGGATGTATTTATGGAAAAGATTTCGGTGACTATTGACTTCTAGTGTTTGTTACCAACGTTAGCATCACGGGTCCAGCGATGAATTAAACAAGTAAAATTTAGACACGAAATATGATATTTGGGAACAGGTGAAAAATTGTGTACGTTACTGTTTATGTAAACAAATTATTCCTTTAAAATTTTTTTATGATTTGTTATATCTTATAATTTAATTTTAAACGGTCTTAGAAGTTGGCTTATCATTTTCTGTATTAATACATATGACCTCAGAGCAGCTGTACTGAAGTGCGATAAACACTGGCAGCTACTGACCTCAGAGCAGCTGCACTGAGGCATGATAAACTCTGGCAGATACTGACCTCAGATCAGCTGTACTGAAGTGTGATAAACTACGGCAGCTACTGACCTCAGAGCAGCTGTATTGAAGTGCGATAAACTCTGGCAGCTACTGATCTCAGAGCAGCTGTACTGAAGTGCGATAAACTCTGGAAGCTACTGATCTCAGAGCAGCTGTACTGAAGTGCGATAAACTCTGGAAGCTACTGACCTCAGAGCAGCTGTACTGAAATGTGATAAACTCTGGCAGCTACTGACCTCAGAGCAGCTGTACTGAAGAGTGATAAACTCTTAGAGCTACTGACCTCAGAGCAGCTGTACTGAAATGCGATAAACTATGGCAGCTACTGACCTCAGAGCAGCTGTACTGAAGTGTGATAAACTCTTATAGCTACTGACCTCAGAGCAGCTATACTGAAGTGCGGAAAACTCTAGCAGATACTGACCTCGGACCTGCTGCTCGAGACTGAGGATGACGGCGACGGCCTGGTGCAGGATGAGCAGTTTGGTCTGCGGTTTGTCGCTCTTCAGGTGAAGCTGCACCATGCGGCCCAGCTCTTTGAAGGCCTCATTGATGTCCCGCACGCGGAGGCGCTCTCGCGCGTTATTTGCCATCCGCCTCTCGCGCTCTCGCTCAATCTTCTGCTCCGGGGTCAGGTCCTCGTCGTCGTTGTTGCTGCATGTGTGAGCGCGCAAATTGAAATGGTGAGGAAAGATTTTCAGGACGTGCACAGTTTACTACACTCGTACATTCTTAGATGTTGGTTTTAGATTCCAGAATAGAATCCTTGCATAATAATAATAGTAATAACATGTACATTTTATTTACATACAGCTTTCTGACACCCTTTATGAGTCTGTACTGTATTCAGTCTAGGGCTGTATGTTTGCAATACTTCATTATAAACATATTTTCCCAGCTGGAAAGTCAATTGCTCTGTTACTGTGTCCAATCACAGCTCTGTATCACTCTCTCTTTGTCCAGTCACGACATTCAATAGCTCTGTTTGTCTCTCTGTCCAATCATGACTTTAATTGTCTCTTTGTCCAATCATGGCTTTGTCTCGCTGTCTCTTTGTCCAGTCACAGCAATCATGACTCTGTTTGTTTCACTGTCCTATCATGGCTGTGTTTCGCTGTCTCTCTGGCCAATCATGGCTCTGTTTGTCTCTCTGTCCAATCATGGCTCTGTTTGTCTCTATGTCCAATCACGGCTCTGTTTGTCTTTCTGTCCAATCACAGCTCTGTTTCTCTCTCTCTGTCCAATCATGACTCTGTTTGTCTCTGTCCAATCACGGATCTGTCTCGCTGTCTCTTTGTCCAATCACGGCTCTGTTTGTCTCTCTTCCAATCAATGGCTGTTTGTCTCTCTGTCTAATCAAGGCTATATTTGTCTCTCTGTCCATGCATATTTTTATATCTTTTATGAGCCTGTATTGTATTTATTCTATGGCTGTCAAAGTTAAACCCATACATTTATATATATATATATATATATATACATATATATTTTCCAATTTTTGTGTATTTTATTTTTTTTCCAAGAAATTTTCACTAACTAAACGTGTTACATGACCGAGGATGTCAAACTTTAAGATTGTATAATTTCCAGGCATGATATTTTATCAAGTGACATTTTTGTCATTGCAAATCATAAAAACACGTCCACATAAACCATGTCAGCACAAAACAGATGAACATGACGGAACAGCAACAATCGCAATGCCACAGCAGTCAGAATTTGATTGAGTGGGTCGAATTGGTCATTCCAGGTGAAAGCCTATAAACCCCGTTTGGGATGAAGGTGTGGAGTTTATCCTGGAAGAATTTTTGGGAATCTGGACGGGCCCTACACTGATGTGTGAGAGATGGCTAAAACCTGGCTCAAGACCAGGAGCTGGAGTGTGTGTGTGTGTGTGAGTGTGTGTGCGTGTGTGTGTAACTGTGTGTGTGTGTGTGTAATTGTGTGTGCGTGTGTGTGAGTGTGTGTGTGTGTGTAATTGTGTGTGTGTGTGTGCGTGTGTGTGTAATTGTGTGTAATTGTGTGTGTGTGTGTGTAATTGTGTGTGTGTGCGTGTGTGTGTGAGTGTGTGTGTAATTGTGTGTAATTGTGTGTGTGTGTGTGTAATTGTGTGTGTGTGTGTGTAATTGTGTGTGTGTGTGTGTGTGTGTGAGTGTGTGTGTGTGTGTGAGTGTGTGTGTGTGTGTGTGTAATTGTGTGTGTAATTGTGTGTGGGTGTGTGAGTGTGAGTGAGTGTGTGTGTGAGTGTGTGTGTGTGTGTGAGTGTGTGTGTGTGTGAGAGTGAGTGTGTGTGTGTGTGTGAGTGTGTGTGTGTGTGTGAGAGTGAGTGTGTGTGTGTGTATGAGTGTGTGTGTGTGTAATTGTGTGTGTGTGTGTGTGTGTGAGTGTGTGTGTGTGTGAGAGTGAGTGTGTGAGTGTGTGTGTGTGTGTGTATTTGTGAATTTTGAAAAAAAACAAAACTCGAAATGAAATCTTATTTTTTTGTTGTGTTTGTTTTTGTTTTTCTCTATTTAGCCGTCTCTCAGCACACCGGTCACTTCATCAAAGTCCGGTGAAGGAGTTGAATGAAGCGAGCGCTCAGCTAAAACAGTTTACCTAGATCTCGACCTCTCTATAGCTTTCAGATCCTTGCTGTCCACTTCATCCTTCTTGGCGTCCAGGGACTTGGTGTCCTGCAGGTTCTCGTCGCCCTCATCCTCCGATTTGATATCCGAGCTGACCGACGAAGTGCTCTGACCCTGCAGACCACTGGAGAGCGCTGTGGAGCAGACAGGGATAGAGAAAGAGGAAGATTAAGAAAAATTATTAGTTAGCGAAAACAGCATTAGATTTTTCTGTGAGAATACAAACAACAACAACAGCAATAATAATAATAATAATGATAATAATAATAACATTCTCACACAGAGCCAGCAGCTCTTTCTCTTTCTGTCCAAACACAGATTTGTCTCTTTCACTCTGTCCAATAACAGCTGTGTCTCTCTTTTTTTGTCCAATAATGATTCTTCTGCGACTCTATCCAATCACAGCTCTGTTTCTGTGTCTTTGTCCAATCACAGCCCTGTCTCTGCATGTCTCTGCCCAATCACAACTGTCTCCGTGTCTTTGTCCAATCACAGCCCTGTCTCTGTCCAATCACAGCTCTGTCTCCCTGTGTCTCTGTCCAATCACAGCTCTGTCTCTCCGTGTCTCTGTCCAATTGCAGCTCTGTCTTTTTGTGTCACTGTCCAATCACAGCTCTGTCTCTCTCTCTCTGTCCAATCACAGCTCTGTCTGTCTGTGTGTCTGTCCAATCACAGCTCTGTCTCAATCTCTCTGTTCAATCATAGCTCTGTCTGTTTCCAATCACAGCTCTGTCTCCCTGTGTCTCTGTCCAATCACAGCTCTGTGTCTGTCTCTCTGTCCAATCACAGCTCTGTCTCTCTGTGTTTCTGCCGAATCATGGCTGTCTCTCTGTGTCCTTGTCCATCATGGCTCTGTCTCTCTGTGTCTCTGTCTAATCACAGCTGTCTCTCTCTCTGTCCAATCACAGCTCTCTCTCACTCTCTCTGTCCAATCGCAGCTCTCTATCACTCTCTCTGTCCAATCGCAGCTCTGTCTCTCTCTCTTTCTCTCTCTCTCTCTCTGTCCAATCGCAGCTCTGTCTCTCTCTCTCTCTCTCTGTCCAATCACAGCTCTGTCTCTCTCTCTTTGTCCAATCACAGCTCTCTCTCTCTCTCTCTGTCCAATCACAGCTCTCTCTCTCTCTGTCCAATCGCAGCTCTGTCTCTCTCTCTCTCTCTCTGTCCAATCGCAGCTCTGTCTCTCTCTCTTTCTCTCTCTCTCTCTCTGTCCAATCGCAGCTCTGTCTCTCTCTCTCTCTCTCTGTCCAATCACAGCTGTCCCTCTCTCTTTGTCCAATCACAGCTCTCTCTCTCTCTCTTTGTCCAATCACAGCTCTCTCTCTCTCTGTCCAATCGCAGCTCTGTCTCTCTCTCTCTCTCTCTCTCTCTCTGTCCAATCACAGCTCTGTCTCTCTCTCTTTGTCCAATCACAGCTCTCTCTCTGTCCAATCGCAGCTCTGTCTCTCTCTCTCTCTCTCTCTGTTCAAACACAGCTTTGTCTCTCCATGTTTCTCTGTTCAATCACGGCTCTGTCTCTGTGTCCAATCACAGCCCTGTCTCTCTGTCCAATCACAGCTCTGTCTCTCTGTCCAATCACAGCCCTGTCTCTCTGTCCAAACACAAGCTAACAGCAAAAATGACCTGTTACGGCCTGTTAAAGCCAAAAAGCAATAACAAAAACTACAAAACCACAAGCGCAGTAGTCAGTAAACTGACCTGAAAAAGAGAGGAAGAGAGTGAAGAGCTTGGAAGAAAGTCAGAGCATGAAAAAGCAACAAAAGAAGCAGAAGGAGAGCAAAAAGAGAGAGAGAGCATGAGAGAGAGAGAGAGAGAGAGAGAGAGAGAGCGTGAGAGGAGTAGGTGGGCTAGTTTGGTTGGTTTGTGATGGCTGGACTGAGCTGATATGAGCCGAGGTGGAGGAGAAGAAGAGGCGGGAAAACAAAAGAGTGATTGGGGACACAAGGAGGAAACGTGCGAGGAGAAACTCTCTCTCTCTCTCCCTCTCTCTCTCTCTCTCTCTCTCTCTCTCTCTCTCTCTCTCTGCCCACGCTGAGGCTCTAATTGATTTCCGTTCTCCGGGTCGCGCCTGGGCGGTTTGATCCGGTTAGGTCTGGCAACTTTTGACCAGCACTGTTTCGCGTCCCACGACTTTCCCTGCCACCAAGAAACCGTCAAACCGGCAAAATTCCTCTCTCGTGACGAGAGCAGGGCGGCCGGACCATCACACACACACATACACTCAGAAGTGGCTATGCACACACACTTTTTCCTTATGATTTCTCTGATTTTTCTTTTTTAATCCTGTTTCATAGTCGCTCTGCATCTGTAAAACAGCTCGTCCCAAAACCAAATACATTTTATGGTTTATTTTTGTTTCCAATGTCAAATTCAGCAAATAAACAGTAATTGTACATTTTTAACTTATTGTCATTTAACCCAGGGTTACACTACATGACTTTCACCCCTGATTTTAGCCCCGATTCTCAGTCTGGCTGAATCGGTGCTGGTCAGCTCTGGTCTGCAGATTTTTGGGTCAGTCGGAGTCGACAGTTGGAGAGAGAGTCGAGTCGTGTGTGAGGGACCAGAGTTTATGAAACGCGTTTGATTTTTAAGCTGTTTAATGAGCTGAGTTTAAGGCATGATAGAGTTTATGTACATTTAAAACTCTAAAAATACCAAACTGATCACATTTTAAATCCAGGATTCTCACTTAAACATGTTCACCTGCTGCTTCTTTACTGTTTCAGCACAAGCGGCAGAGAAAACAGCAGCAGCCGCTCCACATTTGTTTATTTGCGTCTCCTAGTAACGGGAGAATGCGTGAGTTTGCATGAGTGCGTGTGACCTTGTATGAGTTCTTGTGAGTGTGCGTGGGTTTGCGTATGTTTGCATGAGTTCACACGAGTTTGCGTGAGTTTGCATGAGTTTGCGAGAGTTCATGTGACGGCGTGAGTTTGCGTGAGTTCACCTGACTACGCAAGTTCACGCGAGTTTGCGTGAGTTCACGTGAGTTTGCGTGAGTTCACGCGAGTTTGCGTGAGTTCACGTGACTGTGTGAGATTGCGTGAGTTTGCATTGAGTTCCGTTCTGAGTCGACAGTTGGAGAGAGTCGAGTCGTGTGTGAGGGGTGCAGACTCAGATTTTTGACCTCCTGATCCCGTTTTAGATCAGAGTTTATTAAACATGTTTGATTTTTTCAACCCGACTCTGAGCGAAATCTACTGCAAACTGGCCAAAGACTCAATCTGAATGGATTCCACAAACAGCCAATGAAAACAGAGAGCTTGAAAGAAGAAAATACAGCAAGTAAACAAAGAAAAAAGGCAAAAAGCCTCTCACGTGTGGAGGAAAAGGCTACTTGGTCTTCGTGATTACTGTCTATATGCGACGAACGCACCGGTGCCATTATTCCACCTGTAGTAGGAACAGCTATCTAGGAACCAAACAGGGAGCGCATTGTTTCACAGTGGTGGGGATAAAGCGCGTATTACGCTGCTCAATGCTCAATTCCTATTGGTAATTGCCGCTTCCTGTCACCGGAAATCGCCAGCTCTCACTGAAACTTAATGACCCCTGGCCGCTTTGACGCATCGCATTGCTGCTGGTGTGAATGCAGGGTATTGGTAACAGGCTGGAACATACTGAAGCAACTCTCTCTCTCTCTCTCTCTCTCTCTCTTTCTCTCTCTCTCTCTCTATAAGCACATTAAGTTGTTCTCCTGCCCTCAGCCTGCAGTAATGCAGTGGAGAAGCTGAAGCTGAATGGAGCTCCATAAGCCTCCTATCATTGTTCTGCGAACGTTTACCCAATTCGCTCTCCTCCTCCTACACACACACACACACACACACACACACACACACACACACACACACACACACAGAGCACCTGCTGCTCCAGAAACCTACAGAAAGCACTTGTGCGCATGTGGCTCTTTTCCTGCCCTGTTGTGGCTCCACAGCTGAATCAGATTAGTGGGTAAAAATAAAATAATCCTCCTTTACAGTAAAATAAAGCTCTGCTGATCGTTCAACACAGTTTAACAATAAATGGTCTTAAACTCTGGAGTTAATGTAGAACTGCTAATTCACCCTTTAACCCTGAAGATCAGCGCAGACTGCTGGTTACCATAGCAACACAGACAACAGTCTCGCCTAGCTAGTAGCTAACGAAACGGCAAAGAGAGAGATTTAAGACGAACATCGATAATTTGGAGATGAACACGTTTATAATCAGTCCAGCTGGTTTCCTGATACGTTTAATCTGCAGCGAGAAACTGACAAACACTAAAAAGTCGTGAAGCTGAAGTCGCTTCTCACTCACCAGCTTCTCATTAGAATTTTCCTGTTCCACCTTAAATGGTGCCTGAGGTGCCAGAATGTAGTTGAACATAGTTGCTGCACCATCGGGAAAATTCGAACAAGAAGCTGGAGAATCAGAAGCGACTTCAGCCTCGTAAAAAGTTGAACGTTAAGATGTTTTACAAGAAACTGTTCTACTTTTGTGGAAAAGTTTCCTGCCAGAGATGCGAGAAAAACAGCTGTAGCTGAGCTAAAGCTTAAAGCAGAGCAAAGTAAGTCTGTGTTTTCGTTTATATTATGTTTTTAGCCAATACTAGTACATTAACAGACACTGAGATACTTACAGCCAAGACGGTAAAACGGACATAAAATGCTGTGGCTCCCAAAGTGGTTTGATTTTTGTAGAAAGGACAAAATGGCTCGACTTAACATTTGAGTTGCCGACCGCTGGACTAGAAAGTGAATGGCATGTTTTAACACTTGAACATTTACATACTGGCTGCTTTGGTAAAACTGCATGTAGCTGTGTTAATAAACTGAGACATACAGAAAAATAAAAAGAGGCTGCGAACAGTGGAAATACAGAAATGAGGGGTTTATGAATGGACCTTTATGGAATGGACCTCTATTTGTGAATGGGTATATATATATATTTATATATATATCTGCTGCGCGGTTTGTTGTTCTCACTCTCGCTCTCTTCTGCTCTTTCGACTCTCTGCTGCGTTTACTTTTATTTTATAGCACTCAGCACCTCGTCAAGTGCTTGGCTTGCCCGCTGCCGCCTGACCGTATGCCAAGGGCCCACTTTTTTATTTATTTTACTACTTTTTTCTGAGTTAGGGAAGTGTTCTCTCCTTCCAGCGAAGGCCAAAACTCACACTCGCCGCCTCGCTCGTATATAGTCATTAAACTTAAATCACCTTCTACATATTTCCAGCTCTTAAACATTTGCTCTGCGGGAGCTTTCACAGAGTCATAATTACTCTGGATTTTATTTTGTGGGTTGGGAACACTTAGCAGAATGTTACAGAATTACTACCTCCTATTATAGTGTATAAGAGTGTTTATTGAGTTTTTATGAACTAATATCTCCTATTCAAGAGTATAACAGTTTTTATTGAGGTGGTTAATGGGCTAATATATCCTATTCCAGTCAACAAAAGTGTTTATTGAAGTTGTTTAAGGACTAATATCTCCTATTCTAGATTACAGGAGGTTTCAGGTCAACTATTGAGGTCATTTATGACTACTCTTGAGGTTGGTCATGGACTTATATTACCTGTTCTAGTGTAAAGTGTCATTTATTGAGGTTGTTTATGGACTAATATCTCCTAATCTAGCAGGTAGTGTCATTTATTGAGGTTGTTTATGGACTAATATCTCATATTCATGTGTATAGTGGCATTTATTGAGGTTGTTCATGAACTAATATTTCCCATTCTAGCATATAGTGGTATTTATTATGGTTGTTCATGAACTAATATCTGCATTTATTGAGGTTGTTCATAGGCTAATATCTCCTATTCTAGCATGTAGTGGCATTTATTGAGGTTGTTCATGGACTAATATCTCTTATTCTAGAGTACAGGAGTGCTTAATAAGATTTGTTTATGTACTAGTGCTTATGGACTAATATCTTCTATAATGTATGGGAACATTTTTTTTAGGTTGTTTATGGACTAATATCTCCTATACCGGTGTACAGGAGTGTTCAGTGATGTTGTTTATGGACTAATATCTCCCATTTTAGTTTACAGGAGTGCTCAGGTCAACTACCGAGGTCATTTTATAACTACTGTTGAAGTTGTTTATAGACTATCATTCCCTATTCTAGTGTATAGTGGCAAGTAGTTGAAGTTGTTTATAGACTAATATCTCCTATTCTAGCAAATAGTGGTATTTATGGTATTTATGGGCTAATATCGCCCATTCTAATTTATAGATGTTATCATTGAGTTTGTTTATGGACTAATATGTCCTATTCTAGTGTATAGATGTGTTTATTGAGATTATGTATGGACTAATATTTCCTATTCCAGTGTATAGGAGTGCTTATTGAGATTGTTTATGGGCTAGTATCTCCTATAATGTGTATGAACAATTATATAGGTTGTTTGTGGACTGATATCTCCTATTCTAGCATATAGTGGCACTTCTTGAGGTTGTTTGTGGACTGATATCTCCAATACTAGCATATAGTGACATTTATTGAGGTTCATGGACTAATACCTCCTATTCCAGTGTATATGTGTGTTTATTGAGGTTGTTTATGGACTAATATCTCCTATTCCAGTGTGTAGGAGTGCTTATTGAGATTGTTCATGAACTAGTAATAATGTACAGGAACATATATTTAAGTTGTTTGTGGACTGATATATCCTATTTTAGCATACAGTGGCATTTCTTGTTTGATGTTGTTTATGGACTAATATCTCCTATAGTGTATAGGAACATTTGTTGATGTTGTTTATGGACTAATATTTCCTTTTGTTTTTCTAAGGACTAAATGTCTCATTCTAGCGTAAAGGAATGTTCATCAAGGTTGTTTATAGACTAATATATCTTATTTTCATGTAAAAGGGGTGGATTGGGAACACTTAGCAGAATGTTAAGGAATTACACACAGCATTTCTGTAAATCAGTCCTCACCAGCCCTCCTGGAGATCTACTTTCCTGCAGATTTTTCCTTGCTGCCCTCCCACCTAACACAAAGCAACTGATCCAGCCTATTAATGACTTCCGAAGAAGTTAATTAGGTGAAGCAGGCGTGGCAGATTGTGGTAAGAACCAGACATCTCAAGGAGGTAGATCTCCAGGACCAGCACTGGTGACAAAGAAGCTGAACGATGGACTGACCGCCTCAGAGTCCAGACCTCAACATCACCAAAAATAATAACCAGCTTCTAAGACTGAACTTTGGAGGTGCGTCTGCAGATTCTTTGAGGAACTGAAAGTGAGTCTCCTGAAAAGAATGGACGCTGGAACTTAACACTCACCCCTGTACGGGTCAGGCTGGCTCAGCTCTGGTGATGTAGCGGACTGGACTGGCAGCTGTGGGACGGGCACCTGATTGGGCACGATGGAGTGACCACTGCGGAGTCCAACACTGTCCTCACGATGACCCACCTACAGAGGGAGAGAGAAAGAAAGAGACAAGTTATTAACACAAAAATTGACATAAGTTATCATATCATAACAACAGACGTGAGCCAAAGTCAGTATATTCAAGCAATTAAACGCTGACGGTGACGTGGTGTTTATGATTATGGTCACAGCCGTAATCTTCCTCACCACCTCCAATGCTCTCCAATACACTGGCAACAAAGCAATGATGCTGCATCCTAATAATGAAATGCAAACAAAAGTAAATATCCAGTGGAGGAGCTATTCCCTTACTTACTGGACTAATATCTCCCATTCTAGTATACAGCAGCATTTTTTGAGCTTGTTTATGGACTAATATCCCCAATTCTAGCATACAGTGGCATTTAATGAGGTTGTTTATGGACTAATATCTTCGGTTGTAGTGTATTTTGGCATTTATTAAGGTTGTTCATGGACTGATATCTCCTGTTCTAGAATATAGTGGCATTTATTGAGGTTGTTCAGGACTGATATCTCCTGTTCTAGAATATAGTGGCATTTATTGAGGTTGTTCAGGACTGATATCTCCTGTTCTAGAATATAGTGGCATTTATTGAGGTTGTTCAGGACTGATATCTCCTGTTCTAGAACATAGTGGCATTTATTGTGGTTGTTAATGGAGCAATATATCCTATGTTAGCATATATTGGTATTTATTGAGGTTGTTTATGGACTGATATCTCCTACTCTAGAATATATTGGCACTTCTCTGTGGTTGTAATGGACCAATATATCCTATTTTAGCATATAGTGTTGAGGTTGTTCATGGACTGATGTCTCTTATTGTAGCGCATACTGGCATTTATAGATGTTTATGTAATAATATCTTCTATTTAGCCTATATTGGCATTTATTAAGGTTGTTTATAGACTAATATCTCCCATTCTACCATATAGTGGTATTTATTGAGGTTGTTCATGCACTAATATGTGATATTCTAGTGGATAGGAGTGTTTATTGAGATTGTTTATAGACTAATATCTATATGGTATTTATTAAGGTTGTTTATGGACTAATATCTCCTACTCCAGCATATAATGGCATTTATTAAGGTTGTTTATGGACGAATATCTCCCATTCTACCACATACTGGCATTTATTACGGTTGGTTAAGTGCTAATATCTCCTACTGTAACATTTAGTGGCATTCATTGAGGTTGTTTGCAGTCTAATATCTCCTGTTCTATCGTGCAGAGGGAACAGTATAAAAGTTCCTCCGCACTTTCTAATGTGACCTGTGCTGCTCTCTAATGCTCACAAAGGCCTACAGAGGGCGCCCTGCCACAGCACATCTCAGGACTCACGCGCACGCACGCACGCACACACGCACACACACTCTCCTTCCCGAACACACACCGTCCTCCGCTCTGCCTTCTCTCCGCTGCGTCTGCCTGTGACAAACACAGAGGAGCTGCTCAGGCAGGTAAAATCCAAAATGATGTCCCATGGTGCCGAGCGGTGAGCGCTGCTGATTCACATCCATCTGTCCTCCATCATGTCCGCCAACACAACTGACAATTATCTTAATGCCCATATGCTTAATTGTGGGCTTCCTAATTCCCCCGACGCCGGCCGCCGATCCGGCAGGAATTGAGATTTGGCACAAGTTTTTTTTTCCTCTCTCCCACAATCCCCCTCTGTCTTCCTTTTTGTTTTAGGGACACCATCCGAAAACCTGCCACCTCTCCCTCTCTCTCTCTCTCTCTCCCTCTCTCTCCCTCTCTCTCTCTCTCTCTCTCTCTCTCTCTCTCCTCCCTCTCTCTCTCTCTCTCTCTCTCTCTCTCTCTCTCTCTCTCTCTCTCTCTCCCTCTCTCTCTCTCTCTCTCTCTCTCTCTCCCTCCTCTTTTCACCTTTGACTTTACCTCTCTCTCTCTCTCTCTTTCTCTCTCTCTCCCCTTCTCTCTCTCTTTCTCTTTCTCTCTCTCTAATTCCTGTTAAGCCTTTGACAGTGAAGCTCTGGGACGTCACAGGCTTGATGCAAATATCAGAAAATGTCGCCGGCTTTGTGGGGAGTACAAACAGAGAGAGAGAGAGAGAGGTAAAGTCTAAGGTGAAAAGAGAAGGGAGAGAGAGAGAACAAGAAAAAACAGAAAAAAGAGAGAGAGAAAGAATGATGGAAAGTTAAAAGCGACAAAGAAAGAGAAAGAAAGAACGACCAGAGAAAGAAAAAGTCAGAGATAGACAGAGCAAGGGAGAGCAAAAAGATGGAGAGAGGTAGGTGAACAGAGAAAATGAGAAAATATCTAATGAGAAAAAGAGAGAAGAGAGAGGAAAGACAGAAGAGAAAGAGAATGAAGAGAGAGAAAGAGAACGAAAAGAAAGATAGAAAGAAATGGAAACGAGAGAGAAGACATCAAAAGAGAGAGAAAACAGACAGACAGAGAGAGCAAGCAAAATAAATAAGAGAGAAAGAGAGGTAAGAGTGAAAAGTGAAAAAATAGAATGAGAGAGAATCGAGAACAAACAGACAGAGAGCAAGAGAGATATAAAGAGAGGGAGAGAGACAGAGAGAGAGAGAAAGAAAGGGGAGCAAGAGAGATAGAGAGAGAAGAGAGCGAGAGACGTAAAAAGAGCAAGAGAGAGAGAGAGGGAGAGAAAGAAGAGAGCGAGAGATATAAAAAGAGCGTGAAAGAGCAAGAAAGAGTGAAAGAGATAGAGAGGGAGAGAGAGAGAAAGAAAACAGAGCGAGAGAGATGGAGAGAAAGAAAAGAGAGCGAGAGAGACATAAAGAGAGGGAGAGAGACATAAAGAGAGGGAGAGAGCGAGAGAGATACAGAGAGAAAGAAAAGAGAGTGAGAGATACAGAGCAAGAGAGATAAAGAGAGAGGGAGAGAGTGAGAGAGAGATAAAGAGAGCGAGGGAGATGGATAGAGAGAGTGAAAAGAGAGAGACAGAGCGAGCGCTCCAGTCTGCGTTTGTTTTCTGCCCTCCCTCCTCTCCTCCCTCCTCTCCTCCACCCTTTCGCTCTTTCATCACGCTGAAAGCCCCAAATGTAAAATGGCATCCTCCTGGCTGCAGATCGCAGCGCTCGGCGTACATATTTAATAACGGCTTTATATTTAAAAACTAAAGTAAATTAGGATGGTGATGAGGCCCCTCGCCGGGAGACGCTCTCCCACCGCAGCCCTGTCACATGTGCCACTGTTCATCACCGTGGAGACGCAGAGCGCGCGCGCGCGCGAGAGAGAGAGAGAGAGAGAGAGAGAGAGACACTTTCTAGGTCATAGTCTTTCTCTCTCTCTCACAGAATCCTTAAATGAAAAATCATATTCTCCCACTTTCCCTCCTCTCCACAGACAGTCGCTGTTCAGTGTGTAAAGTTTGCTTCTTTAGTTTTACACTCACTCTTAGCTACGAGGCTAAAGCAGCTAACAAACAGTTGAAACTTATAGCCCACCGATTAGCGCCATGCTAACTGCACACCTGAATAATCACATTACTGCTGTAATCAGTCAGACACATTTTTGTGTAACCATATTGAACATTCTAGCCAATCACAGACATCCTACTGTATTCTGACCAATCACAGACATTCTCATTCATTCCTATTGAATATTCTAACCAATCACAAACATTTTCATTCATTCCTATTAAATATTCTGACCAATCACAGACATTCTCATTCATTCCTATTGAATATTCTGACCAATCACAGACATTCTCATTCATTCCTATTGAATATTCTGACCAATCACAGACATTCTCATTCATTCCTATTGAATATTCTGACCAATCCCAGACATTCTACTGTATTCTGACCAATCACAGACATTCTACTGTATTCTGACCAATCACAGACATTCTCATCATTCCTATTGAATATTCTGACCAATCACAGGCAGCTTTCACAGACAACGTTCTGGAGAAGCTGATCGTAACTTTATTTCAGCCCGACTCTCTCTGACCTTCACCCCCACTGCCCCCCGCTGAGCTAATGAGGGGTTCACTGTGACCACCACGGTCAGACATGTTTACACACCAACGAGCACTTTCACACACCGGCTCTGCGTGAGAGAGAGAGGGATGAGAGATGGAGAGCAGACTTCCTACTGACAGGACCTTTCAGCACACACACACACTACACACACACACAAACACACACTATACACACACACAAACGCGCACACACACTCACTACACACATACACACTACACACACACACACACACTACACACACACACACACTGCGGCTGTTAGAGGAGTTCTCCTGTATTTTTAGTTAAGCACTCAGATATTCTGTTCAGGTTTTATGTTTCTTGATAGAACAAAAAGAAAGAAAGAAAGAAAAAGATGCAAAGAAAAAAGAAGGAAAGAAAGAAAGAAAGAAACAAAAATATATAAAGAAAAAAAGAAATAAATAAAGAAAGAAAGAAAGAAAGAAAAAGATGCAAAGAAAAAAGAAAGAAATAAAGAAAGAAAGAAAGAAAGAAAGAACGAAAGAAAGAAAGAAAGACAGAAAAAGATACAAAGAAAAAAGAAAGAAAGAAAAAAGCTTAAAAAAGGCTTAAAAAAGGAAAAAGAAAGACAGAAAGAAAGAAGGAAAGAAAGAAAAAAGAAAAAGAATGAAAAAGGAAAGAAAGACAGAAAGAAATAAAGACTTAAAAGAAGAAAGAAAGAAAGTAAAAAGAAAGAAAGAAAGAAAGAAAGAAAGAAAGAAAAAAGTAAGAAGAAATACAAAGACCAAAAGAAAAAAGAAAGACAAGTGAAAGAAGAACAGAAGAATGAGAGAAAGACAGAGTGTGTGAAGGTGAGGAGGGAAGGAGGGATGAAGAGTGGAGGTGTACTGTAATCTCCTCCTGCTGTGCTCATCAGCAGCTCAGCTTCTCATTCAGCCTTAATCTGCAGCTGATATTTACACACTGCGTCACACAGGAGCCCCAAAAAAACACCTCACTCACCGTCTCTCCTCCACAACAACAGCAGCAACAGCAGCAACAGCAACACACCTCTCAGCACCACTCTCACCCAACGGCTGCTGCTC